GGGCGTGTGGAGCCCGGACATCGAGCAGAGCTTCCAGGAGGCCCTGGCCATCTACCCGCCCTGCGGCCGGCGCAAGATCATCCTGTCGGACGAGGGCAAGATGTACGGTGCGTGCACGGGCGGCCCCTCCCCCTGCTCTCTGCCCCCTCACCCAACCGGTTTGGTGACGTCCGGAGGCCTGCCGCTGGCCGGGCGAGTCTGGGCGCGCAAGCCTGTGTGTCTGGATCCTCCTCCGCGCTGCTCCTCATAAACAAGCCGGGCTTGCCCCCCAACCAGGGTGCAGCCCACACCTCGGCACCGCCGCCTGCTCCTCCTCTCCTCCCTGCTACCGGCCTGGAGGTTTCGAGGTGACTCAGTGGGCCCGAGAAACTGGGTCAGCCCGGAAGGGGATCCCTTCGCGGAGGAGGATGTGGAAAGGCGGCCCGGTGACAGTCCCAACACAGATCCCTCCAGTACGAGTTGTGGGAGGTCGCACGGGGACAGAGGCCTCCTCAGTCCCCGTCCCCATTCCTTGTGTTTGCTGGCCCTTCTCTCTGCCATCTTGCTCACTTCCAGAAGGGAGTGTCCCCTCTTGTCTAGCCCTGAGAGGGCTCTCCCAGAGTTGCATTTTTGGGATAACTCGACGTTTCTGGGCCTGGTTTCTGGCCAGCCCCCCCATTCCTCCCTGCAGCCCGTGGCTGAGCAAGGCGGGCCCAGCCCTTCACAGGGCGAGCCTGTGGGAAGTGATCTGGGCTGCCCCATGCCCCTTGGCCACGCCCCATTATTCACGCCCACCCCAGCCCCAGAGCCCCACCTTGGGGGCAGGCAGATGGTCCAGGGCGCCTTCCGCAGGGTGGGTAATGTCTGCCCCCACTGCTGCCTCCCAGGCTGGGGAGCCCCACAGGGTATTTTTAGACAGGGTGGAGAGAGGGGTGGAGAGGGGCTGGTGAGAAGGGAGGAGCAATGGGGCCGGTTCTGTCATCAGAGAGGAATTTGGAGAATTTGGCCGTTCTGGGGAGGCCATGGGGCTGGGGGGCAGAGTGTTTGGATTTGGGGATCCGTGGTGCAGAGCGGAGCCCCCCACCCCAAGGCTCTCACAGGAAGGAGAGACACTGGGAACTGGTGACATGTGGGTGACAGGCACAAGGACATGGTGACATGCTCAGTGACACATCTTGACACAGGCTGCCAGTGTAGGCGGCACATTGGAGGCTGTGAGTGCCGCCTTCCTGTCCTTCCTGGTCTTTCACCAGAGAAGGGAAGGAACTTGTCCAGGGTAAAGACAGAGCAAGGGCAGGACATTCACCTGGGGCAGGCTCCTTCACATGCCCCTACAGATCCATGCACTAAGAGCATTGGAGCTGCTCACACAGGCAGGAAGCACTGCCGGGGCTGGGAGGATGGGGTGCCCAGCCAGGACAGGCCCTACCTGTCACCTTCCTGCTGACCTGTACCACAGCCACCCAGTCTATCTGCAAGGAAGCCTGTCAGGGTGCTTAGCGCTGCTCGGCCCTGCGTCCTCCTACCTTGCAGCCCCTCACGCACCCTTTCCCTGAAGAGCAGCCCCTCTAGGTCCCGGAGGCGGTGGGATGAAGCTGGGACTCCCTAGTCACCTTTGCCTGCCCTGCGCGTGCAGCTTGGAGTGAAGAGAGTGGGGAACAGAAGAGCAGGGTTTTGGGGGAGGGTCCTGGAGTGGCTTCCCGGTGGGGTAGGGTCTCCAGCCTTTGGCTCCACCCTTTGCCCACTCCTCATTTTTTTCTCTCACTCCAATCTAGGTCGAAACGAGTTGATTGCACGCTATATTAAACTGAGGACGGGGAAGACTCGGACGAGAAAACAGGTAGAGACACGGTTTACGACGGGCCCGGCTTCCAGGTCAAGCCCCTTGCCCCTACCCGGCCCACCTCCTCAAGGCTGCCCCTGGCCTGGCCTGCCACCCTCCTGGCCTCATCATGCTCCCCTTACCCCTCGACTTCACCCCCTCCCACCCCTGAGCAGTCCATTCACCCTTCCCACTTCTCTTGGAGAGATGGACCCACTACCCAGCCCAGGGCCTTTGGTTCAGGGACCACAGATAAGCCCACAGGGCTTCGTGGCTGCTACATGGTCCCTGCCCTGAGTGGCTCACTGACCAGCCAGGGAGCCAGATGGTCACACGGACGGGTACAGAGCAGGGTGGCATGGCTGAGAGAGGGTGGGTGCAGGGCACTGTGGGATAAGCAGCTAATTCTGGCAGGGCTGGGGGAGGGGAGAGAGAGAGCTGGGAAGGCTTCCTGGAGGAGGTGACACTCAGGATGTATTTTTAAGAAGGAGTGGGAATTAGCCAGGCAGAGAAAAGGGATAGGGCTCTTCCTTCCAGGCTGAGGAAGTTGGATATACAACGAATAATCATGGTAAACCCATACAGCGCTTCCTTTAAGTTAATTTATTTAATCCTCTCAGCAACCATATTAGATAGGTACAGTAATTCTCTCTTTTTTTACAATGAGGAAACTGATGCATAGGGAAGTTAAGTAACTTCCTCGAGGCCCCCAGTCAGGAAAGAGCCATGCTGGTGGGCAGTGTGGTGTGGCGGAGGGAGGGTGGGGACTGCTGGGCTAGGGGACACTCAGCAGAGACATGGGTGACAAGTTCCCCAAGGGGCAGCAGTAGGCCATGGGAGGGTATGGAGCGGGGAGTGGCAGGTGGCAGCTGCTGAGAACACAGGCCCTCAAGCAGCCTGGTCGATGGATTAGAGAGGGCTGGATCGAGACAGGGAGGCTGGCCCTCAGGGGCACCAGCAAAGGCCTAGATCAACTGTGCCAGGGTCTGGGCTGAGGGTCGTGGTGGTGGAAATGGAGAAAAATGACGATGTAAGAGACAATTGTGGCTTCTGGTCCAGGGAAGGTGGCAGTGTGGTGACAGAAACATGAAGGGAATGGATTGGAGTGATGGCTCCACTGTCCTCTCTGACCACTCACTGCCCTTTGGGGTGCTGGGGAGAGAGGCCAGGCTGGAGGCAGGACCTGGTGGAATGGAGGCCAGTGCTGCTCTCAGCGCTCCCAGCCTCCTGTCCTGATGGGATATGGACCCACAGATCCCCATGACAAGTCCACCCTGTTCTACCGCCTTCTCAAAGGAAGGTTCTGAGCCTCCCCACCCAGTGTAGTGGTGGCAACGATCCCTCATTCATTGAAGCATTTATGAACCACCCTCCCTAAGCCCAGCTCAGGTAGTACTGAATTTATTCATTTAGCAAATGACTGACCTGCTGCTATGTTCTAGGCACCAGGGATACCACGTGGAGCCCACAGGGCCCTGTTCCCTGGAACCCTTGGGGTCAAATACTGGTTCTTTCTTGGAGTGGGGAGTAGTGGGCTTCCCAGCCTTGCATCCTCAGCCATTGAATTTGTTAACATATGAAGACTCTTAGAACAGTGTAAGTGCTGCCGAAGAATTTGCTATTATTATTATTATGGTCATTATTATAAACAGAAAGCTGTTCTGAGCTTAGAAACAAACTCTCAGTGGGTCCTCCTCTACCCAGAAGAGCTGTTCATAGGAAGCTGTTAGTCAGAGTGGGAAGGGGCTGTCATTAAGCTAGGTCACTTTTTTTTTTTAATTAAAAAAATTTTTTTAATTAATATAGAGATGGGGGTCTCGCTGTGTTGGCCATGTTGTTCTTGAACTCTTGGCCTCAAGCGGTCCTCCCGCCTCAGCCTCCCAAAGTGCTAGGAATATAGGTAGGAGCCACCGCACCCAGCCAAGCTGGGTCCCTTTGAACTGAGGCCAGGGTGGGCTGCAGAGGTGGGGCACATCCCAGCCTCTGAACTCAGGGACCCTCATCACACCTGCTTCTGCTCAGCAGCCTGAGAGGACTGCCCAGAAAATGAACTTTTACAAACCAGCTGTTGACAAGCTCAGAATTTTGGAAACCACTGCTTTTATCACAAGGGCATAAAGTACAAGGGTGGAACTCCCCCTGTCTTTACTCTTTCTTAGAACTCTGGGATTTTAGATCCCAGTGTAAGGGGACCTGTCCTCTGGTTTTGAGGACAAGCCATGTCTTTATGTGTTACAAAGAGCAACCACTGACAAGGTTTTCTTGGTCCTTTTAAAATTTACTTTTTGTTATCTTCAAGGGTTTTTTGTGGGGAAAAATTTTTTTTTTACTTTTTGCTTGGAATCCCAGTACTTTGAGAGGCTGAGGTGGGTGGATTATTTGGGTTAGGAGTTCGAGACCAGCCTGGCCAACATGGTGAAACCCCATCTCTACAAAAAAAAATACAGAAAGTTGGGCACAGCGGCACGCACTTGTAATCCCAGCTACTTGGGAGGCTGAGGCAGGAGAATCATTAGAACCCAGCAGGCAGAGGTTGCAGTGAGCCAAGATCGTATCAGTGCACTCCAGCCTGGGCAACAGAGTGAGACTCTTGTCTCAAAAAAAAAAAAAAAAAATTACTTTTGGCAAAGAAATGCAGTTTTAGGTTTTTATAGATACATACATGTAGCAATTCATGGCAAGCACAGTGCCTCCATATGGACAAAAGAGCTAAATATTACGTTAGGACTTTCAGCTGTCACAGAGTTGGCCATTTGGAGGCAATCTTCTGGGCTCAGGGTCCAAGCGAGTCCTGGTAGTGTAGTTTGGTGGTAAAGTAAGTAGGCTCTGGAGTGAGACGGTCTGGGTTTGAATCCTGGCTGTAGCCCCCAGCCATGTGACCTTGGGTAAGTTCCTTAACCTATCCAGGCTTTCGTTTTGTCATCCGAAGTCAGGGATATTGGTACTTTTGTTGTTTTTGAAACAGAGTCTCGCTCCGTTGCCCAGGCTGGAGTGCAATAGCATGATCTCGGCTCACTGCAACCTCTGCTTCTGCAGTTAAAGCGATTCTTCTGCCTCAGCCTCCAGAGTAGCTAGGATTACAGGCACGCACCACCACGCCCGGCTAATTTTTGTACTTTAGAGACACTGGGTTTCCCCATGTTGGTCAGGCTGGTCTTGAACTCCTGACAGGTGATCCACCTGCCTTGGCCTCCCCAAGTGCTGGGATTACAGGCGTGAGACACCACGCCCGGCCTTAGTACCTGTTTTTATGTTGCTGTAAACATCAAGGGTCAGTATGTGTAAATGCAGAGGACAATAGTATCTGTGCTCAATAAACATCAGTTACTGTCACAGCACGAAGTGATCAGTAATTTTTCTGGATAGGAGTCTGATTCCTGGGCTCAATGAGGCAGCGTGAGGAGCACCCACCCAGGTCCTAACCAGGTGGTATCACTTACATACTCACTGTCAGGCTATGATTAAAAAGAAAAAGGAGCTTGCTTTGTGGGGATCAAAACAACCTGCAGAGAAAGCCAATTGCCGATGCTGAAAGTGTGGAGCGGCCTCAAGGCTTTGTGTGTTTCCTGGGGAAAACAGTGGCATTTGGGTTCTCTGCGCCTCTGGGTCAGATCTTTGACAAGGTCAAGGGTCTGTTGTGTCGGCTGGGCACACAGCCCAGGGCACACACATCCAGACCGTGATTAGCTCAAGTTTGCCAACAGAGACTTCAAGGAGGAGATTGCCAGAGAAGTGCAATTAAGGGCACCTATTGAGTACATATATACCCACTGGCATATATTAGCCCAAGCAGAAAGAAGGTGTACTGGGGGGAAAAGTTATGGGAGCAAAGCAGGAGGAGGGCCAGGCCTGGTTTCATAGGCTGGGGCTCTGGTTGGGGGTGATAGGAGGACTCAGGAAGCGGTGCTGGGGAGATCCCTGTGGAGGATGTGGCCTTGGTGTATACGCTAGTAGCCAACAGGAGCACCATGGCCATTGCTAGCCCCTGTGGTGCCAATTAGAAAAAGATGTCTCCGCTGAGGACACCAGTGAGAAAAAGTCACCCCTTTTGGTGGGAGGACAGGGGCAAGCACAGCCTCGTAGAAGGCCACGTAGCTGGGCAGCCGAACTTGGGCTGGATTTCAGCCCTCACTGGTGTCCTCTGGCCAGTGGACAACCTGAGCACCTGTACATGGTGGCGCTGGAAGCCCCTGTGGCTCTTACCGTGACAAGTCCAAGAAGAGAGCAGCGTCGGCCGTGTTCAAGAAGTGTCTGAACCGGGCCCAATGGCACATGCCTATAGTCGTAGCTACTCGTATGAGACCAGCCCGGGCAACATAAACCCTGTCTCAAAAAGAAAACAGTTCCACCCACTTCCATGTAGTCCCCTAGAGATGAGGGGGCTGGGATGTCCCTTGCCCACGGCCACCCCACGGCTGTGCCTCCTCACTGTCTGTGTTTTCCTCTCTGGCGGGGCGCGGGGCGGCCCCTAGGTGTCCAGCCACATACAGGTTCTAGCTCGGAAGAAGGTGCGGGAGTACCAGGTTGGCATCAAGGTATGTTGGGTGCCTGCTGGGGGCCATCAGCCCTCCTGGCCCCTCACCTGCGGCACTATCTCTGCATAGCTCAGGCCTCTCCTTGGCCCGCTCTCCAGCCCCACTGTGCCTCTTTTCTGGCTGAAGCTCTGTTCCTGCCTCTCCTTCCGCTCTTTCTGTTCTTTTTCTTTCTTTCTTTTTCTCTCTGCAGGTCTCTAGCCACTTGCAGGTTCTAGCCAGGCGGAAATCTCGGGAGATTCAGTCCAAGCTGAAGGTATGGGGTCCCCGCCACCCAGCCTGGCCTGCCCAGCACCCTCCCAGGCGCAGGCCTGTCGCTGCTCTGTGGTTCCAGGGGCTGAGAAGCTGTGAGGGGGTCCAGAAAGAAACACAAGTGGCAGCAGGAAGCCCACGGCCCTGCCAGGCTGCACAGGGCCACAGCCCCTGGAGACTGAACAAGAGCCCCCAGCCCTATAGTGAGGGAGAAGGAGACCATCGAGGGGCCACTGAGGCCCACCTCTCCTCTTCTCTGTTTTTCTTCTTCTCCTTCCTCCTGACTGCTGCTTACTAACTGCATGGGGACTTCAGTGGGCAGGGAGGAGGCCCCGGGGTACTGGCCAGTGGGGCTATAGAGGTGGGCATGGCAGTTCCTTGCAGATCTGGCTGTCCTGCAGCTGCGGATTTCAGAGTGTGGGGTTCATGACCAAGGCCCCTCTCAGGGCTTCATGCTGGCCGTGTTCTTTTCTTCCTGCCCACAGCTGTGCAATGGACGGGGCCTCTCACCCCCAGGCCCCCAGGCCCAGAACCCATAGACAGACCCAGGAGGTGCCAGCTTGTTCTCCCTCACTCCGCCCTTTCCAGGGCTTGCCCCAGCTGGAAGCACTCCCTCTGGGGGGACAGGGAGGGTCCACTGAGTTTCCTTGGGCTCTTCGGAAGCTAAAACCCATGGGCACTGGGTGGAGGTAGGCACCCCACAGCCCTGGTGCTGCACACCTCCTCTAATCCATCTTCCCTCTCTCCCTCACAGGCCATGAACCTGGTAAGTAGCATGGCCCTCCCCAGTGGGAGGAGGGGAAAGGGTCTTAGCACCTAACACAGGATTTTCAAATGATAGATTATGAAACCAGTTTAATAGGCGCATAAGCCTCGTTTTTTGTTTTTTGTTTTTTTAAAGTGAAATACAGCCAGGTGCAGTGGCTCATGCCTGTAATCCCAGCACTTTGGGAGGCAGACGCGGGTGGATCACGAGGTCAAGCGATGGAGACCATCCTGGCCAACATGGTGAAACCCCCGTCTCTACTAAAAATACAAAAAATTAGCTGGGCATGGTGGCGTGCGCCTGTAGTCCCAGCTACTTGGGAGGCTGAGGCAGGAGAATTGCTTGAACCTGGGAGGCAGAGGTTGCGGTGAGCTGAGATCACGACATTGCACTCTAGCCTGGTGCCTGGGGACAGAGTGAAACTCTGTCTCAAAAAAAAAAAAAAAAAAAATGAAATACAGTGGTTCTCAAAAAACCTTAGAGTACATCAGAATTACCTGGAGGGCTTGTTAAAGCAAATTTCTGGGCCTCACGTCAGAGTTTCTGATTCAGTGGGTCTGGGCAGGGGCTGGAAAATATACATTTCTGGTTGGGCACAGTGGCTCATGCCTGTAAGCCCAGCACTTTGGGAGGCCAAGGTGGGGAAGATCCATCGTGCCTAGGAGTTTGGGAGCAGCCTGAGCAATGTAGCAAGCACCCATCTCTACAAATAAAAATTTTTTAAAAATAAAAAGGTACATTTCTAACATGCTTCCAGGTGATGCTGGTGTGTCAGTCCAAGGACCGTATTTTGAGAACCACTGATGACACAGAAAATAGGAGAGTACTGGACCTATTAGTAAGAGGAAACATCTTGATGTATATTGGCCTTTGGAATAACATAAAATAATTTCTTACCATGAATTGTGGTCAGAGGTGAGGGACACTTGGGAGACTGAGGCTAGGAAGGTGCAGAGATTCTCCCAAGACCACACAGCAGAGCTGGGGCTGGAATCCAGGCCTGGACCTTGAGGAACACCTGTCATTCTAGTGCTTTGGACTCTACCCAGGTTCTGGGAGGGGCCCCTAAAGCAAGCCCTGGCCCCATCCAGCCTGGCCCTGGCCTCATGCCGCCCCCTCTCCCCAGGACCAGGTCTCCAAGGACAAAGCCCTTCAGAGCATGGCATCCATGTCCTCTGCCCAGATCGTCTCTGCCAGTGTCCTGCAAAACAAGTTCAGCCCACCCTCCCCTCTGCCCCAGGCCGTCTTCTCCACTTCCTCGAGGGTACATGGGTCACAGGAGGTGGGCTGGTGTCGGGGTGTGCCATAAAGGATGGGCTTTCATGGGGTTCGTGGATGCTGAGGGGCTGCTGGGCCTTGTCTCATCCCTGCAGTTCTGGAGCAGCCCCCCTCTCCTGGGACAGCAGCCTGGACCTTCTCAGGAGTGAGTATTGGACTTACCGTCCCATGCCCTGTTCCTGCTGGCAGCCACACAGCGCTTCCATCCCATTTGAGCTCCAGCAACAGCTGAGCAAAGTTTTAATTCAAAAATAGAGGGATGCAGACTGGGTGGTGGCTCACACCTGTAATCAGTCCTAGCACTTTGGGAGTCCGAGGTGGGAGGATCGCTTGAGGCCAGGAGTTCAAGATCATCCTGGGCAAAGTGGCAAGATCTGCTCTCTCAAAAAAAAAAAAAAAAAAAAAAAAAAAAATTAGCTGGGCGTGGTGGTGTGTGCCTGGGTAGTCTTAGCTACTTGGGAGGCTGAGGCAGGCTAGGATTGCTTGAGCTCAGGAGTTCCAGAGTTCCAGGCTGTAGTGAGCCTTGATTGCACCACTGCCACTCCAGCCTGGGCAACAGAGGGAGATCCTGTCTCTAAAAAACAAACAAAATAGAGGGCTGGAGAGTGCAGCAGGCGAGCTGATGTGCTGGCTGCTCACCTATGCGTTCTCTCATTAGCATGCATCCACTTGTCACCTGTCCCTTCATTTACTTTTCACTCAGTTTCTGAGGCAGTCTCGCAGTTATTCAGTCAGGTGGTGAAGTGTGCTGGTTCCTCAACTCTTAAAACAACTTTCGTCAAAAGACACACCCTCAGCATAAGGACCAGCTTTTCAGGGTTGGGGGGTTTGAAATGCTACATTGTACGCTCAGATCAGCTGGGAGACATGGTAGGATTTCACAAAAGTTAAATGTGGAAAAAAAACAAAAAGCTTGTGAGTTCGCTTTTCAGCCTGTGTTTCTAGGCCTCAGCAGAAAGGCTGGGTGACTTCCTATAGTAGGCGTCCCCAAACTACGGGCCTGCGGGCTGCATGCAGCCCCCTGAGGCCATTTATTCGGCCCCCCGCCGCGCTTCAGGAAGGGGCACCTCTTTCATTGGTGGTCAGTGAGAGGAGCACAGTATGTGGCGGCCCTCCAACGGTCTGAGGGACAGTGAATTGGCCCCCTGTGTAAAAAGTTTGGGGACGCCTGAAGGGTCCTGGAAGAGGGTCTGGGCCAGGTGGAAGGTGGGGAAGAGGGAGCCCTCTCACCAGGCTGTGCTCTTGTCTGCAGCATCAAGCCATTTGCACAGCCAGCCTACCCCATCCAGCCGCCCCTGCCGCCAACACTCAGCAGTAAGTTCTCCACGTGAGGGGCTCTCACCTGCACCTCTGCTCAGAGCTGGGGCCTATGTGTGTTTGCTTTGGGAGGGAGAGGGTGGTGACACCTGTAGGAGATTGGGACAGGCCAGGAATAGCCCCCTTACCTTGCACAATGTTGCTTCCAGATCTCTGGCACAAAACCATAGCCAAGCTGGGCATGGTAGCTCACGCCTGTAATCCCAGCACTTTGGGAGGCTGAGGCAGGTGGATCACCTGAGGTCAGGAGTTCGAGACCAGCCTGGCCAACATGGTGAAAGCCCGTCTCTACTAAATACAAAAAATTAGCTCGTGGTAGCACAGGGCTGTAATCCCAGCTACTTGGGAGCCTGAGGCAGGATAGAATCGCTTGAACCCAGGAGGCGGAGGTTGCAGTAAGCCGAGATTGTGCCATTGCACTCCAGCCTGGGTGACAAGAGTGAAACTCTGTCTCAAGAAAAAAAAAAAAAAAAAACGATAGCCAGTACACAGCCACAAGTACACACCTCCAAAATCTACATTTATACACATCCCTGTAAGGAAATGCGCTGAAATCTTAACAAGGCTCTCTCTCTCTAGATGGTGGGATTCTGGGTAAGGGTTCTTTCCCTTTTTGACTTCTCTGTGTTTTCTGTTTAAACACACATTAATAGTCACACAGAGTAATGTTTTTGATGTTTACTGCTAGGGCCACCACATATGGTTGTGCAGGTTGTACACTGTACAAGGACACCTAGCAGGGGAGTCAAAAAATCCAACCCATGTTCCTTTCCAAAAGGGGCACCTTTGCAGGCTGGGGTGGCTTTGTCAGTAAGAACCTGCGTGCACCCATGTGGATGAGGATCTGTCTCGCCTCCCAGGTTATGAGCCCCTGGCCCCGCTGCCCCCAGCTGCTGCCTCTGTGCCCGTGTGGCAGGACCGCACCATTGCTTCCTCCCGGCTGCGGCTCCTCGAGTACTCAGCCTTCATGGAGGTGCAGCGAGACCCTGACACGGTAACATGTTTGCGGGTGAGGGTGAGGCTTTGCACGATTGTGGAGAGGCCGGCCAGGTGATCCACAACTGAAACTCAGGGTCCTGGGTTGAGGGGTGGCCTGTTCAGGGAGCTCCAGGCAATCCTGTGCCTGTGCAGTGCCCCCTTCCCCGCCGTCGGGTCTGCATGTCAGTGCTCTCCTGACCCTGTCTGGGCCCTCCCCACAGTACAGCAAACACCTGTTTGTGCACATCGGCCAGACAAACCCCGCCTTCTCAGACCCACCCCTGGAGGCAGTAGATGTGCGCCAGATCTATGACAAGTTCCCCGAGAAAAAGGGGGGACTGAAGGAGCTCTATGAGAAGGGGCCCCCTAATGCCTTCTTCCTCGTCAAGTTCTGGGTGAGTCCCCCGGCCCTCTCTGCTCCCAGCCCCCTTCCCAACCCCAGAGGTGCAACATCCAGGCCCACTGCATTGACTTCCGGCCCTGCTCCATCTCCTCATGGCTTATGGGCAGAGTGCCAGAGATGGGTCCTTGGGCAGGACTCTGATGTGGTGTGGCGGGAATCCTTCTGGTCTCTGCTAGCACCTGACACCCCCGCCCCCGTGCCCAGGCCGACCTCAACAGCACCATCCAGGAGGGCCCAGGAGCCTTCTATGGGGTCAGTTCTCAGTACAGCTCTGCTGATAGCATGACCATCAGCGTCTCCACCAAGGTGTGCTCCTTTGGAAAACAGGTGGTAGAGAAGGTAGAGGTGAGTGGGGGCTCGGGGTGGCTTGGTGGGGCTGGGAGCAGGCTGGCTGAGTGACGCCTTCTCCATGCTCTCTGCAGACTGAGTACGCCAGGCTGGAGAACGGGCGCTTTGTGTACCGTATCCACCGCTCGCCCATGTGTGAGTACATGATCAACTTCATCCACAAGCTGAAGCACCTGCCCGAGAAGTACATGATGAACAGCGTGCTGGAGAACTTCACCATCCTGCAGGTATGGGGGCCAGCAGGGGTTATGGCGAGTCCACAGGTCAAGGGCCTCAAAGTTGGGTAGCCAGACACATCACTCGGATGGGAGGCACAGATCCGGAAAGAAGGGTCTGTTCGGCTCCCTGCCCCATGGCCCTGTTTCCCCTGACCTCCTGAATCTATTACCTGCTCGCCCCCTAGGTGGTCACGAGCCGGGACTCCCAGGAGACCCTGCTTGTCATTGCTTTTGTCTTCGAAGTCTCCACCAGCGAGCACGGGGCCCAGCACCATGTCTACAAGCTCGTCAAAGACTAGGGTACCCTCTGCGCCTCCGTAAGGATGCAGGGTGAGCATCTCCTCTCCACATCTGCCTGGCACCCCTAGGGGGGGTCCAGGATTGAGGACTCATCTACCTGCCAGGCCTCAGGCCCAGGACCCAGGAGGCCTCCCCACCTACCCCAGCACACACACTCCCTGCCACTGTTCTGCGCTTTGAGAGGAGGGCTCAGCAGTGGGGCAGCCTGCCCGCAGCGCTGACCCACCATCACTCCGCTCTGCCCAGCCTCATATGACCTCAGAGAGGTGGGGAGGGGGAACACCTTCAGCCTTTGGCATGTGTGGCCACTGCCCCACTGTCGGGGAGTGTCATGGGCAGGTGAGGGCAGGATGGAGACTGAGGGAGTCAGCAAGTGGAGGCCCTGGGAAAGGAGAGTGTCAGGTCGGGGTTGGGCTCTGAGGGCAGAGGGGCCACACTTCTTTGCCCCTTCCGTGTGCCGGGCTTCGTGCCCAGACTCCTTGCCTGGCTTGTGCGGTGCTAGACTCTGCACAGCGAGTGTGGGTCTCCAGGTTTCCGATGAAGTGCCGAGGCTCCAGGAAGTTGAGGGACCCACAGGAGAGGTGGGCAGAGCTGGAGTTCTCGTCCAGGGCTGCCTGTTCCCAGAGCCCAGGTTTACACTACCTCCCTGGGGCGGCGCTGGCCACAGGGGCGGGGAGAGGCTCTGCAGTGTGAAGAGTGGAGCCGCCTCAAACTCCTCGAGGACAGCTGGGTTAGGGGAGCACCTGTTTCTACAGCAGCAGACCCTGTTAGGCACCCCATCAGCCCAGAAGCCAACCAGGGGGGCTCCAGGAAGATGGGGCAAGCCCCAGCACCCTCCAGATTGAGGGCAAGGTAGAGGAAGGAGTCCCAGCCTCTGGGCAGACCAGAAGCCCGGAGGGAGGGCTAGCAGAAGGCTTTTGGTTTTTCTCTTGCCCAAGGCTGGGATCTGGCAAACCTTGGTGGGCACTGCTCCCTTAGGTTCTTCACCTCAGTCTACCTGCCCGGAGCAGCAGCTCCCAGACCCAGTGCTGGGACTTGAAGGTTAACCCTTCCCCTGCTGCCCCTTCTCAACACCCAGGCCCCCAGAGCCAGCCAGGCCTGACCAGCAGCCACCTGTGGGTATTTATGAGTTTCATATGAAGTACTGTGCCCCTTCCCTTCCTCATCCGGACCCTGCCCGAGCTTCCTGAAGGTCCTCACCGTTTGCATATCGCTCAGGCCACCTCCAAACCCCACCTAGGTTTTATAATGTATATTATATATTTTTTTGTGTATTTTTAAAATCCAGCTGTGATGGGTTGTATCATAAATGTGGCTTGGGGTTGGGGCAGGGGCCATCAAGGCCCAGCTCCTGCTCAAAAAAAAAAAAAAAAAAAAAAAAAATTAAAAGTTATATGTTTGTGGGTCAGTCATACAATCACTTGTGTGCCAGACCTTTGGATTGGAACAGCTTCTGGTGAGAGCTCCTCGTGTGTGATCACCCCCAACCCCTGCAAAGCCATCTCTTGGGGGGCCTCAAGCCCTACCCACACTCAGCATTTCCCTCACTCTCTCCTGCTTCGAGCTGAGCACTGTACCTGAGGCCCCTAAAAGAAGTGATTTGCTCAGGTTCGTACATTGACTGAGATGGAGCTCCAGGCCTCAGCTAAGCCAGCACAACACAGATCCAGGCCTGGTAGTGATCCACTGACCCTAACTGACTGAAGGAGGGTAAGCACTCTTCCCCAAGTGACAGCTGCTGACCTGCCCATGTCTGTCTGGAAAGCCCTGCTGTCCTGAGCCACCTGTCCGCAGTAGGGACCAGTCATTACAGGGCTGAGGCAGAGATAGTTCAAGACTTTCAGTGGACATTTGCCCAGAGGCTGTTCCAGCCTTTTCTCCTACAGTTAAATATGGGTGAACTGATTGGACTCATTCCGTCAAACGATGAGACGGAGCATTTGCTCTCAGGGTGGCAGGCTAGCGTAAGAGTTAAACAGAATGGGGGTCACCCAGTTAAATTTTAATTTCAGATAAACGGATGATTTAAGCATGTTCCATGCATTACTAAGGACAGCCTGCATTTTTATTTGCTAAATCTGGCAATCCTCTAGAATCATCTTAACAGATGGGGAAAACTTGAGACATGTTAAATGTACTACTCCTCAGGATTCCAATCTGATCTGCCCGATTCCATGATGTGCACCTGGTATCCCACTAGGGATCCCCAAACTTTCACCTGCTGGATGGATGGTAGGGTGCCAAGAGCCCCAGTAGGTAGGAGGGGCCCAGGAGGCAGAAATTCATGTTGGATCCACTGGACACCGATTACATCTATGGGCAATTAGCACACAAGAGCCTTCAGATAATTGCTTTTGTTTTATTTACTCAAACCTAAAGTTTCCCTTTTCCTTCCAATTGCAAAGATCACAGGTTTGGAATATACATAAAAGCCCAAAGAAAAATAACCTAAGACAAGAGGAAGTAGCTGGCTGGACCTGTCTTGAGAACCAAAATTCACTGCTCATCATCGTCATTAGGTTTTACACCTGCCTTACCAAGAAACTGCCGTAACTTAAAAGCTAAAAAAAAGTTGGCCAGGTGTGGCAGCTCACACCTGTAATCCCAGTACTTTGGGAGGCCGAGGCAGGCAGATCACCTGACGTCAGGAGTTCAAGACCAGCCTGACCAACATGGAGAAACCTGTCTCTACTAAAAATACAAAGAAAAAACTAAAAGCACAACTTGCTGAGTGAAAACTGTGTTCTTCACAGTTCAGGGACAGGTAAAGCTTTTTTTAAGAAATGCAGCATTCCTCGCTCCTCACCAACAGTCTTGCTGTCACCCAGGCAGGAGTGCAGCATCTTCACTCACTGCAACGTCTACTTCCCGGGTTCAAGCAGTTCTGCCCCAGCCTACTAGCTGGGATTACAGGCATGAGCCACTGCACCTGGCCAAAATGCACTGTTTTTAAGTACCACTTTTATGCTTTAAAATAACCCTTCTCAGCTCGACTCCGTGGCTTATGCCTGTAATATCAGCACTTTGAGAGGCTGAGGCAGGTGGATCACGAGGTCACGAGTTCAAGACCAGCCTGGCCAACATGGTGAAACTTATCTCTACTAAATATATATTTTTTCAAATTGGCTGGGCATGGTGGCGTGTATCTGTAATCCCAGCTACTTACTCAGGAGGCTGAGGCAGGAGAATCCAAGAGGCAGAGGTTGCAGTGAGAAGAGACCGCGCCACTGCATTCCAGCCTAGCCAACAAGAGTGAAACGTCCAAAAAATAAAGATAACCTATTAAAAAACAGGGATGAACTAGGTCCCCTATTTGCCAGTCAAACGAAGCTGATTTAAGTCAAAGGTTAAAAAGCAGGTATTTCCCACCACACCAAAAGCCACCTTTCCAGTACTAGGTGCTGGAGGTAAGAACTGCAACAGGGAAATGCCTCAGAAAGGGAGGGGGGCTAAGCACACCTGGGGCAAGAACCTGCAAGTTTTCATGGCCTGACTCCACCTACTGCTGGTTCACCTAGAATTAACAGGACACTGGCGGGGCATAGTGGTTCATGCCTATAGTCCCAGCGCTTTGGGAGGCAAGCAGATCACAAGGTCAGGAGTTCAAGACCACCCTGGCCAAGATGGTGAAAACCCATCTCTACTAAGAATTAAAAAATTAGCTGGGCATAGTGGAGGGCAAATGTAATCCCAGCTACTTAGGAGGCTGAGGCAGGGGAACTGCTTGAACTTAGGAGGCAGAGACTGTAGTGAGCCAAGATTGTGCCACTGCACTCCAGCCTGGGTTAGACTGCACTCTATCTTAAAAAAAAAAAAATCACCATTTTGTACTGTTGCTGTTCCTCGTCTTCCTTAACATTTACTCATTACTAACCCAAAGCATAGTATACTCAACACGGTGCCTGTTAACACAAAAATGCTGACTGAAATCCTCTAAGTATACACAGACCAATCCTGTCAAAGCTTCAGTCCTGTTTAGCAAGCCTCCCAAGACTGCCTAATTTTGATGGCATAAAAACATCCTCTTCCCTGTAGTACCCAACTATCCATCATTAGGGTCACAAACTACAACAGCTAACCATCAGCAGTGCCAAGACACTCACTTGTCAACTGACAAACCACCACCCCACTCTCAATCACAGACAGACAGAGGGGACTGGTAATAGAATTTATTCAAATGTGCCTTAATATAGGCGCTGGGGCTTGCCCATGGTGCTCTTGATATATAAGGCCCGGACATTCTGCCAGTTTTTCTTGAGCAATGACACCAAGAAATTGACAGCCAGGTGAATGTTATACACAAGCTCATCGTCTGTCATCTTCACGTGACCAACAGCTACAGCCAGACATAACACCTGAGAGGAGAGGATCAAGTCAGGTTGGTGGAAGGATGGCAAATGGCCCATCCCTCCTCCCACAGTGACCTAGTGAGCAGATACTTGGACTCAGGCCAAGAAGACTAGGGTGAAGTTACAATCCTGGTGGGACTCCTACTGGCACATTTAGAGACTTGGGTAAGATCTGGACCCTGCCAGCATCTTCACCCATAGCAACCCACCAGACCCCCTCACCTTCTTCATTTGGAACTTGATCGTGGACTTCACCTCATCCACTTTGGCCACCATGTTTTCATTGTGTGTGAGCAGGGAGGGGAACTTTCCCGCCTTATTTAGGCCTGGGCCGAGGATTCGTGGAATCTGCTTGATCAGAGACTCTGAGGCCAAAAATGCATCGTACTTCTTGGCTGGTAAAGAAAGGAAGCCATTGGCATTGCTTAGGACACCTGGTCACCAAGACACACCTCAAATGTGGCAGGCTGGAAGTGCACCTGAATCAACCATGTAAATGACCTCCAAAGCAGCACCCTCTGACTCCACCTGTCTTTTCCCCAGCCCAAGTGGTTTCCCGAAAGTTCTGGAAAGTCACTGGTCCCAAAACATGGTCTCAGAAGATCAGGATGACCCACAATCCATGACATAACCACTGTACAACAGATGCTCCAGTCAACACTGCCTGGGCTCGAATTCTGCCTTCCTATTTCTTAACTGTAGACCCTGGAACATGTGACAACTGGGGAACGTCGCTTCCTACCTTTAAAAGCAGTCTAAATGCCCCTGCCTAAACAACGCAGCATAAAGATTCCCAAAGCATAGCTCACCAGCACCTGGCTGGTCAACTTACAATGCCTGGTCTCCCTCCTCATCAGCTGGAATCCTCATAGCAAATACAAACATCAAACCACCACAAAGCTAAAACAGCAGTCAGGCCAGCTAAGCAACCACTGCCAATCCTTTGCTATTCTAGCCCCCTCATCATTTAAAAATCGAAATGGCAGAAAAGCCGCCATTCTACCATTCCCATGACCGTCTGCTCCCAACCCACATCTCACATGCAAAACCACAGCGGCCTGACTCACCCAGCTTCTTGACCAGTTTTTTATTCTTGTTGAGTTTTTTCAGCGCCTCGATGTCCATGTGGGGGATATCCACGGCCTTGGCCTCGTCACAGTGCTGCTGGTCCCCCAGGACACAAACGGAGAACTTGGGGCGAGGAGTGGACTTAAGCCTGCGTTTGGAAGAACCAACAGGTTATGCCTAGCCCTGAATCCCGAGGTCCGGTGAAGGGTCTGGGACCGCAGCGGCCACCAAGCCTTACCCAGAGCGTCCACATTCACCAGCAGCCAGCCTGGCTTCTCAGGCTGGCCGGCGGGCTCGGCCGAGGCCTCCCCACGCCTCCCCTCATGTTTTAAGACCCAGGGTGGGGGTCCGTCCAGCCACGCCTGCCTGGAGCAGGGGGTCTGAACTACCCTGGCACAGCAGTACCGACGTGCCCGCCTCCGGCTCAGCGGGAGCTTCAGGGGAGGGGCAGGCACGGGGGCACTGCGCGCTGGGTGGGGTCAGAACGGTGCCAACCTGACGGTGCCCGAGAAACGCTTGTCCTTCTGGGGGTCATAGTTCTTCAAACTGATCTGCAACTCCACCGTCTCCAGGAACCTTCGAGATAGGAAAGGGGTTAAGTAAGCAGCCGCCGGCCCCGGCCACCCGCGCCCTGCCCCAGAGCCGGCACTCACTTGCGGCGCTTGCGCTGGTTCCCGTGCAGGACTTCCCGCACCGCCTCGTACAGGGTGTCGCGAGAGACTTTGCTGCTGCGGAAGAGAAACGATAGCGCACTCAGGGCTGCGGGGTCCACACGCTCGGCCTGCTCGGAAGACTCCGAGGCTCCAGGCTTCGAGACGGGCAGGCGGCCCACGGCGGACTCCCCCGTGGATTCCGGATACCACGTTGAGCAATGGGAGCCCAGGCCCAGGCCCAGGCCCGGGCGGAAGAGGGAGGCTCTCGGTGACTGGAGCTGGTAGGAA